AAGAAATTTAATACTCCACACAAAGATCTTAATTTACTCCTTGACACCATGCATTTTTCTAAAGAAGGAATAGGTTTTAATAAAAACGAAGCTAAGGATAAAGAAAACGTTGAGCAAACACCTAGACAACCTCCTAAGGCTCAACATAAGAAAGCTAAAAATCAAGTAAATAGAAAACCTAGTCAATCTAAGAACACTAGACAACCTAGACAAAAACCTAGGAATGAAAACGTTCATGGTAGACAACCTAAGAAAAATTATCAAAATGTTTTTGTGCATAAAAACATTTTTTCTCAAAATAGAAGAGACAATATGAGAACACCTAGAAATGATCCTTTTGAAAACATGCATAAACCATCCTTTTCTCAAAATAGGACAAACATGGTTAGGCCCCCTAGCTATTATCAACCTAGGCATATGTTCAACCCAAATGTAGTATGCCATTATTGCAATAGGGTAGGACATATAGCTCCCGTGTGTTTCACTAGACATAGGCACTTGACCTTTAATGAAACACACACCATATTTAATGCTGACGAAAAGAAATTCTTTGGAAAAGGATATTCGAATCATAAACAATCTCCACAGGATAGTGCACAAAAGAAACCGTATTATTTCTTCTACTTTGACGAAAAGAAGAAAGTCCACATTCCGTTACCGGAACCATCACAGACCACATCGAGATATCGGCACTCCGTTTGGGTAGACTGGAACCCGCCAACCACTAGACAATGGGTTGGCCAAGGTAACTCCTAAACAATCATTTAATTGTGTGTGTGTATGTGTGTGTGAATTTTGGGTATGTGTGTGGGCAATAAAGGTCAACTAACCCCCAAGGACTCATAGACATACTTTGGGTACCAAAGTGTTATTCTTTTTTTGCAGGGACGGTTCAAAGTGAAGAATTCTGGAAATCAGGGGGAACCAGCGATGGGTGGGCAATACCATCGCTGGGAGGGAAGTTTTTTTTCAGAACCCCTCTTCCCATCGATGGGTAATTGACTCTTTTTTTTTAAAAAATACTTAACGGATTTCCAGAACACCCTAACCCATCGATGGGTACTTTGTCCCATCGCTGGGTGAAGGACTTTTATCAAAAAATTTTTTTTCAGAACCTCCCAACCCATCGATGGGAACTTTCTCCCATCGCTGGGTGTTTGACTTAAATTTTTTAACAGATTTCCAGAGCGCCTTTACCCATCGATGGGTAGTTTATCCCATCGCTGGGTGAGTTCATGTTTTTGTTTCAGAACCTCCAAACACATCGATGGAAAGTTCCTCCCATCGCTGGGTGTTTGACACTATTTTTTAAAAAAATTCTTTAACGGATTTTCAAAACTACCAAACCAGCGATGGGATGGTATTAACATCGCTGGGAAGGCCATGTTCTTTTTCCAGAAGCCACCTTCCCATCGATGGGCAAATGCAAACATCGCTGGGAAGGCAGCCATTGTTTTCTTCTTCGCTTTCCAGTGTCGACCTTCCCATCGATGGGAAGTTCCACCCATCGCTGGGAAGCCTGCTGCCAATTCAAATTTTTTAACCGTTGGTCACCAAATTTATTGCCCAACAGTCACTTTTTTGAATTTCAAATGAATTTCACACCCTTTCCTATATATATCCTTCATCTCTACTCATTTTAACACACATTCTTCGCATCAAAATCTCCTCTTTTACACAATTCTTTATCTTTTTGCTTCATTCATGGCCGGAGGAAAGAAGACAAAGGTTTCCAAGAAGAAGGGCAACACCGAAGCTACGACCTCAGCGCCACCGCCGTTCCCCTACCTGGACGGCTCGTTTCTTGAGTTCGGGTCGGAGGAGGAACTCAACCGGTTCCTCACGCACTTTGCCAAGCGTCCCATTTCTCCGCCTAGGGTGCTGCCCGAGTTGTACCCTCAGCAAAAGGGGTACCACGACCTCGACAACCAGCTTCAAGCATCGGGTCTGTGGTCGTTCGTCTCCAGGAGCCGCTCGAGCTTCAATCCCGCCTTTGTCCAGGCTTTCTATTCCAATCTCCGCCGTGACGGGGACACCATTCGCAGCAGCATCAATCTCTACGACATAGAGATTGATTTGCCTACCTTCGCTCGGGTCGCAGGGCTGCCCATCCGCGGTGACGACATCGCAACCTATGGTGGCGACGATTGGATCCTCAACAACGAGGCGGTCATCATTCGTGAGCTTGGGATCACCAACTTGATCCGCCACAGCGGCGCACCGACGATTCACTCGGCCTCACCAGACAAGCGCCTCCTCCGCCCGGATTCTCCGCCCCCGAGACAGCAGCCATACCTCGCTCTTCAACGAGGACTTGAAGGCGATTCATGCCATCATCCACGGTGCCTCCATCCATTGGGTGAAATTCGTGATGATTCACATGGCGGATTGCGCCTCCATCGCCACTGAGCGGAGCTTGCCATACGCCTTCCTCATCATGGACCTCATCATCTCCGCCGACATCTCCATCGCCGGCCCGGATACGAAGATGACAAAGATTTGGATAATTCATGACAGCACCTTCCGGAAAAAGTCCAGAGACCGGGACGGCGCAGGCCCAAGTCGTGCACCAGCCCCCGCTCCCGCCAAGGCCTCTCTGCAATCCATAGCCGATACTCTGAATCGGCTAACCCTCACAGTAGACGGCATGGGGCAGTCAATCGAGCGGATGGACTGGACGCTGCAACGCCAACACCACGACATGACGGCGTTCTTCCGCGGCGTCAACTACGTCCCGCCGCCCTTTGACAGCACCTTCCTCGGCCAAAACTATGAAGGCGAGGACGAGGAGGATAACTCCTATGCACCATCCTCCTCCCCCGACGAGGCCGACTTTGAAGATGCGGTCGACGGCGATCCCATGGACGTCGAGGACGA